CGTGTACCGATTGCGTTACGTGTGCGACAAAGGGAAGAGCTGGTCCTTAACCGTGCCGCGGGACGCACAAACACTCCCACCGTCTGTGTTTGCTGAAATAAGCTCGTACGAGAGTATGTATGTATTTTTCTTTTCCAATTACACAAACCTCATTAAAAACACAGTCTGAAATAAACTCGTAAATCAAAGATGAAACTGTTTAAGCTCAAATGTAGCTATAAAGCAAAGTACTTGGGCGTACAAAGTAACGTTTGTTGCTTACAGCTCAGCTGTAACGCCCAGCAATTAACGTAGGTGGCAGGTTCCCCCAGACTGGGGGGGGGGTGTTACCCGTGCCGTGTTCGGGAGCAGAGCGCTCTCCGACTTGGGGCGCTGGCAGCCAGGCTCCAGCTGGGAGTTAGATCACATAGATGCGTCCAAAAAAAGAAAGAAACACTCAGTGTCAGACAAATCGCTATTTGGTTGACACAGGAAACTTACAAAGAGCATCGAGTTAATGCGATATATGGGCTACCAGCAACTCATTCAAACTATCTTACTGGGGTTGCGAGATCGTTCCAATGTACCTGGCATGGACCGAGAGAGACCATGGCTCAACCTAGGGAAACTAGTAAGGTTTCTTTTTTAATTCAGAGCCAACAGTATAGAGGTATGCCATCTCTCTCATCCATTTTATAAATGTGAATTAATTGTCAGAGTTTGCCATCGAAGTTTCCTAGAAAGCAGGGAGAGCTGCCTGAAGAGGATGACAAAACCATGCTGCTTTATGAACCAGACTCCTTCCTCAGCCGTTTTCTGTAGCTTTTCAGTAAGTTGAATTAAAATGCTGCCAACAGCTGTCACAGGTGGATGCAGTTAGGTTAAATGTTTGAGAAACACCGACCCTTGCAAGTCATACAGCTACCCTGGAACTGGGATAGAGGAAGCAGTACCTCTGCCTGCCAAAATAACTGATGGGTATTGGTCAGTATGCTGTCTCAGCCTTAACACGTAGCTGATAAAAACCTGTAAAGGTGAGACCCTGAATGTTTGACTGTACAGGGATCTACTTCTGCCTTGGAAAACAAGTCAACAGAATAAGATGAATTAAAAAAAAAAAAAATCTATGGGGGCCCAGGCAGAAGCACATGGCATTTCTGTCTTGCTGGAATTGCATTATCAGCCAGTTCTCTTATTTCCCCAGTTCCCATTAATTTACAACAACACTATACAATGTACCGTAATAAACCAAAACCCACCTAATTCATCTAAACAAATATGTGGGTCGAGAGAGGATTTTGTACCTTCTGGTTTCATTCTCAGCTTCACAAAATCTCAAGTCTTTAATGTCCTGAGGAATTACTCTTTCAGCAGAAGCGAAATAAATTATGCGTCAATGAACAATTGGGTTATCAAGGTTGTTCACTTAATGTTCCAGCTGTTCTATAGCACCATCTTAACATTTATTGGAGATTTCTTTTGAATTTAGTCTTATTCCATGGTACTTACAAATAAATACGTTGCATTTCTTACAGCTGCTGTGCCAGTTAATAGCAAATACAAGTACATAATGAATTTATTGCCTTTTACCGCTAGAACTAGAAATGACAGAGGGTGGAGGCTTCATTCAAAGGAGAGCCATTAATGTAATAATAGTGAAGCCAGAGATTAAAGCTGATAGGATTTGTGGGGAGATTTGTACAGCACTTAACTACATTAACACTGTTTTTTGCTCCTTGCCCTCATAAGAGCTAAAACTTAGATACACTCAAGAGTTCACAGGAAACCAAGAAAATATAGTACTGGCCACTGCTTCTTTGCCCTTTTCCAGCTGTCCTGCAGGCATCAGCTTATTCTGGAAGAGATACCAGACTGGAACACTGTACAGCTGGTGGTCAATGGGGAGATGGTATTTCGCTGCAACATCAATGACCTGGATTTTGGTAAGTACAGAGTTTTATTCATCGCAGTCTCTCGCTGAAAGCACTCACATTTTGAAATGAGTGCTTCCTAAGGCATAAACAGTCCAGGTTCTGTCAACACTAACACTTGTAAGCTCTGCACTCCTTTATATTTGAGGCAGTTTGAAGGGCACAGTCAGGAAGAGAGGATGGTTTGGGAGTTAAGGCCATGCTTGGGAGAGCACTGTTCAGGGCCTTCCTGGATGCACCAGCACACAATCACAAGAAAACCTGCTAGGTTTCAGTCCACAGAAGTATTAGGGCATCCTTTTGCTTTCAAAATAGCAAGTATTTTTCTTTGCTTGGGCCTTAGTTTCTTTGGGTTTTTTGTCTTCCCCTCCTCCCCCCCAGCAAAACACAGATAATACCATCTCGGTGCCTCACAGAGAGTAATATTTTTATCATTTTTTGCTGCAGGTGAGACAAGGAGTTCAGGGCTCAAGTTTTCTCATCTCCTATGCAAGTGGCTTCCAGAGAAAGGCTGAAAGCCACTGCTTCTTGCCTCCCCACTTTTCAACAGCCTCTCTAGGGCTGGCGATGGAAGTTGTAGAGCAAAAGCAGAAAACTGACCAAGGATAATGGCATTTCCAGCACTACAGCTTGGTTGGTTTCACCTTTCTGAAAGGCAGGCAGACAGGTCAGGAACTGGGAGGTTCCAGCTGGATATTTCTTCCAACAAAATAGAACTTTTTTTTTGTCCCAATCCTAGCCCTACGCTGGACAGTGAAGTACTGGCTAATAGGCCACACTACTGTCTGCTGAACCACCTGCACTGCCGCATTTACTTTTTGCTCTGTTTCAAATCCAGATCAATGCTGAATCAATCTCAGATTATACAGCTAACCAGAGTAGAGCCAAGCTGGGTCCAAGTACTGTGAGAGAGAATGCAAAGGAATGTAGATGCTAGGAGAAGTAGACATGTAAAATAAGAATAAATTTATTTTCTAAGTTGTGTTTTTCTCCTTTAGGAGGTGATGGCAAGTTGGATCCACTTTGTGAAGAAGCCAGAAAAGCAGTGTTAAACGCATACTAATTTACAGGGACTGATTTTCCTCTTACCTTGGTTTTCTGTCAGGCAACTTACTTGCATTACAAAGGTATTAGAAATGTCAGGATGCAGTTGGTTCTTTACACTTCTAGGTCACTTAATGAAGCTCTAGATAATCTTGTTACACCCATGTGTCAACCAAATAAGAATACACCGCCTTTTCCAGAACCAGTTATATGTTACTACCTTGACTATTACAAATTCACGTAGAACTGTGACTTGCATGTAGTTCTAATAGTTTGATTTTCCTTAAAAAAAGAATGAAACTCCTGGATAGCTTTCATTCTTTCAACTTTTAGAAAGTTTCCTATGTCAAAAATAGTAATTTCAAAGTCATTCATAGCTGATGATCAATCCATACATATTCATACAGATGTGGCAGTTCCTCTCTTGGTCACAAATGTCTCAGAAAATAGCTCGTGCATCATCAGACACAGCCCAAAGGTACAGAGAGAAAGAAGTTAGCATAGCCATAAGGACGGGAATAAAGCTGACTGGGTGTTACCACAACTGATATTCCTGATATCTCAAAAGTAATGCTGCCTTTTCCTCTCTATTTCCTGCCCCCCACCCCCCAATAACTAGAGTATGAAGCTTCTTTTTTGCTCCTGATTTGTCAACATATACTCTCAACCTCAACTTAATTTTAAAAACACTTCTGACTCAGGTAAATTCAGCAGTTTGCAAATAATCATATGCCACAATGCTGGTACCCTGAGCAATTTTCAGTTTCGCCCATAATTAGTTATGAAAGAAAGAAGTGGTTAGTCTTTGCATCCTAATGAGTGGTGTGAACAAAAAAACACAGGATTTGTTGAGGGTCGGGAGCGCTAGGCGGCAAAGCTGCACTTTCTAGTGCAGCTGCAGGAGAGACAGGCCACCCAGCACAAAACCAAAGACAAAGAAATCTCATCACTGGGTATCTCCTATCAGCTGTAACCTGCAGGGAGATAGCTGCAGTTACAAATAACCAAGCCACATTTACAGTGATACTAATCCAACACAAAAGCGTTGTCAAAATAACACTATCACTATGTCCAAACACAGTCCCTTTCCAATGACCTATAGATGACAGAGGCATTAAAACAATATTCTTTAGTGAGAAAAAAATACTCATAGTTAAAGTTGAGCAAAGCAGAAACTGTACTGTCCCTTTTGAAGACTGAAACATTTTTGCTTTCTACAACTCTGATACACCAAGATTAGAAAGTGAGAACATTCAGACTGAACCATATTGAGATCAATACAATTGAGCTTGGCACAGATAAAAAAGGCACTTTCTGCAGCAGACATTCACACAGAGAGCAGACTGGGGTTTCAGCATCTGCCCCGCTCTCGTTCCCCAGACAGCAGTGAGTTAGTTCACACTTGCTGTGTCTCTGATCCTGTCACGACTGAGCAGGCTGTCCTGCACCGCAGCCCAGCTCCAGCCTCAGGCTCCAGTGCAGCCCTCGGCACAGGCAGGGGCTGTAAAAAACCCACTCTACTGCATTTGTCAGTGGGACACCGACAAATGGCTTTCTGCTCTGGCAGTAAATTGTTTATTGGCCTCTTCGGTAAATGCAAATTAATTAGACTAAGTTAGTTTAAATAATGTTAGTTCTGGGCAGAATTTACTCTCCAAAATAGAAGACTAAACTCCCCAGATCTCTTGAGCATGGAACGCCATGAACATCATTGGAAATGCTCCAGGCAGATGAACTCAGCAGTGTGACTATTTTTTAAAAAGTGTTTTAGTTTTGCTGTGTTCAGTGCCCTCTGTAACATCACTGAGGACATTTCTGACATACCTTCAAGTTAGAATGACAGGAGTTCTGTAAGGCGATATTAAGCCATAATAGATCGACATGTTTAGCTGGAATAAATACAAACAAGCTTTGAGGAACACAAGGCTGCAGGTCTGAAAGAGAAGCAGCAAACTTCAAGACAAGTATGGATTGAGAACAAGTGCTCTGACTTTGCTTTAGAGTAATATTATGACCAAATCATGAAAGACCAGAGACAGATGAGAAAAGATTTTTTAATATGACAGTGAGATATCTTCCAGTGAGATAAAAAATTAGCTCCATCAGACATTTTGAACACAGCCAGCTAGAATGCATAAAGAGATCTCAGGCCCCATTACTGTGCTTTTGTTACAGAAGGGAAAAATAAATACAAATTTGAAGTAGCCCTTTCAGTTTGGTACCCGTCCCCCAAACACTACCTGTGATTAGTTGCCATGGCACTAGCAGGCAGCTGGATATTTGAAGGCACTGTAGTAGCCACTTGGACAAAGGCATTTAATTTTTTTTCTATGTGAAATAACCACTTTTTTCCTCAAAGTCTCCCTCATCTTTAAGGGGATTATCTGCCCCACAGATAATCATGGCCATTTGAAAACTGAACCTACCCTGCAAGTCCTCTCTACAGTGACTTTCATCCAGACTATTGTGATAAAGTCAAATCAGGAGGAAGAAAACAGCAGCAGCAAATTATTCCAGTAGTAACACCAACTAAATTGCTGCACAGCTTTTATGGTTTGACTAATTGTCTCATTAAGACGCATTTCTGATCACTGAAATGGATCTCAAGTATTATTAATCACTGAAAAAATTGTACCACTAAAGAGCCTCTCTCCCTCCTATCCTTGGCACTCTTTGCAATGGAAAACACACAAAGGCTCCCGTTGATTGGAGCCCCGCTGCTGCACAGTTGGCAGTCAAACAGTACTAATGGCACAGTAACACAATATAACTAAAATAGTTTGCCTTTTAGAGTAACAATCTCTTATAACATGATTAAGCTGTATCATGCGCGTTTCCTTATGTTTTGCAAATGGCTCAGAAAAAATCTGACAACTTTTCCAGTAATTTCTTCAAAAGAGAGGGAAAATAAAAAATCATTAGCTATCAAGAAACAAATTAACAACACTTGATACATTAAAAAAAGACAAAAACAACTGCACCAAGCACAGGCTGCACAGCAGCACAGTTGTGTGGCGCCCAGTCCACTTCCCCTTGCAGAACGCACCTCCAAAGACCGAATTTGTCACATTTAATTGCAGACACTTTATTGAAGCACGCACTTAGTTTAGGAGCTAGCTTGCTCTAGGCTACCTCTGTAACTGATGGAGAGAGGCATCTCCACAGAGCAATTCAAACCTCTACTAGAGTATAGACTGCAGGATCTCTGGGCTCCTAATTTAGGTACTTTTTTGGTGTTTGGTTTCAAATGATATTAAAAGAGATAGAGCTACTTCCTCATATAAGGAGCACATTTCAAAAGGAGCAAGCTGGCATTATCCAACACACTACTGACATGCTCTTTACATTCTCAGCAAACAGGAAGATTTTGCTCTTGGCCATCACTCCCAGTGGTTGCACAAGCCATACATTGCAACAAGACATCTCCCCTTACAAGAGTTGTAGGTGTTTATCCCATACATTATCATATTAAAGACAGCAGCCACTTAATTTTCAAGTAGCTTATTCTCAGAAGCCTAATGCAAAAATGGCACAGCTATTGCTAGGAGAGACGTACACTTTCATGGTGGCCACCCTGATGAAAAAAACCCGCAAAGGCCTAGGAGCTCTTTGGTGGAGATGGAAGTGGTGCATGGGAAGGAAATGACTCCATACAATTACTCAAGAAGAATTGAAAAGATCTGGTTTATTCTCAGACATGTTTTGCTCGTTTTGAAGCAACTGTACAATGGTAATCATCAACTTCCCGTGAGTGCACTTCTGATTGTGTACTTGGAAAAAGAAAGCAACATAGAGCTGATATCAGCACAGTTCTCAGAAAAGAGTTTAAACTTTATTAGAGGAACAAAGTTGAATTACTTTAATAGTTGGGGTTTTTTAAATTAAAAAATATCAATGATACTATACATAGTTACATTTCTTTCCTGTTTGTTTTGTGTATTGACCATCCAGCAACATGATATTAAACACGGCAGCACTAAGAACTTCCATGCATCATTTTTACATATTAAGATAAAGTCTGTGACAGATTGGCTTTGCAGTCTGTAGGAAATCACTTCTCCATCTCCATCATCTGAAATGGAGATAACAGCTTTGAGTCACAGAGATCTTGTGTTCCCTAAAACATTTTTCAATGCTCCAGTAAAAAGTGCTGTACAACTAGTTGTATGGCACTCCACAATTAGTGCAGGGAAATGCTTTATTCCAGTAAATTCTTTTTTTAAATAACTTTTTTTCAGCTTAAAAGAGATACTTCTGTTTTTAACAGTTGTTTTAAACTGTCCAGATTTCTTTTGGTTATTTTAAGGTATTTTTGTTTAAAATATTGAGGACATTCCCTATCAATGCCCACACACGTTATAAGTGGAAACCAGCCCAAGAGAATACATGCCAGATTCTTCTGCTCTGGCAAGGCACATATTTACAAGACTCGAAACTCAGTATAAGCTCATTCAAGTGAGAGACAAGATGTGTTACTAATTTAAGAGGAATTTGAAATGTGGCCATTTAGTTGCTTTCAGTTTTGATCAATTTTGTAAAGCAGTTTTAAGAAAAGACAGGGTTGTTCTGCACCCACACATAGGCACTATTCAGACATGTAAACATTTGCTCACATGCCTGTGTATATGTAAACATACCCAGGAAGGCATCTACCAAGGTCATATGAAGTATAGTCAGAAACATTACAAATTAGTGGTCTTTGTCATAGGCTTTGGAATTAATTCTGGGGAACAGAATATGCTACAGAGATCTCTGTTTACATCCCTTTGGGCTTTGTTACAGAGACAGGTACCACAAAGTTCTGCATAAATCTACTGAGCTCATGACCTGTGCAGTATTGTGCTCACTACGAAAAATACAATGTTACTGGTAAATCTAATGAGGGGCCTGAGGGCTGTGATAAAGGCCTAAGGAAAAAAAAAAAAAAGGAAGAAAAAAATATTAATAATCACTCTTCATGTAGCATGTCCCTAATTTTTTAATGCATGTAATTATCAGAATAGTGATGCTGCAGAGAAG